TATGTGCCCTGACTGGGGACTGAATCCACAACCTAGGGATGTGCCTTAACCGAGGAACAAACCCGAAACCTTTTTGGCTTACTGGACGATGATCCAACCAACTAAGCCACCTGGCCAGGGCTGCCATATTGTTTCAAAGCATCCACACCATTTTACATTCCCACCAGTAGTGCACTGGGATTTCAATTTCTCCACGCCAAGGGACCATAAATTTTTTATTGGGACAACAGAGTTCAGCCCCCTGCTCATCCAGTCTTGCATTCTTTGATTATATAATAAACAGTGCTCTTGTGGGCTGCCCATCTGCCCATCTATTTTGTCCCTAGGAACATTGTGTTCTGTTAACCAACTGAAATCTCTGCGAGTCAAGCTCCCTTGGCTGGCCCTTCAACCTTGTTGGTCATTACAGTAACTGTGACCCTTGGCTTTTATTATCACCACCTTGCCTCTATTGATGGCGATGATTACTGTCATTCTGGCTCTGTGATTGTTTCTTCCGGTCCCTGCATCAGCCTGGACTGCAGACAAGACAGGGTACAGGCAGAGTGTGGCCCTCTGCAGCCAGAGCTGGGTGGTGGCGGCGGGTGGAGGTGGGGTGGAGAGAAACAGCCTGTTCTTGTGGTGCCTCCAGGCCCACTTCCCGGCTTGGGCAGAGAGGACAGGAGACCATTCCACTGCCTTGTTTTGTCACCTAAGGACAGGAACCCAGAAAAATGGGGACTGAGGCACATTGCACTGTTCCATCTTCTTTTTGTTGTGTTGCATTTGCTGCTGGGTAGGAAAACTGTGCAGAAGCAACCAGGTTGCTACCACTTCTGACCATTTCCTCTCATTCTTCATCTAGAAGGCAGGTATTTGAGCATCACCCCAGAGTTATGTCATGACTTTGTTAGCTAAACCCGATCACCTCGATTTTACGGTTTTCTGTTTTTCTTGGGAGGAAGGGGCTGTTTGCTGCCATGGTTTTAATAATTTGGAAGAAGGAAAAGCAAGAATGAGGTTGAGTCCAGTATTTCTGAAAGAAAGGCAATTTCAGAGCTATTCCAAACCAGCAGGAAGGACAGGGGAGATAACCCCAACCTGCCCAAAGAAAGAAGCGAAGAGGAGGAGGGATTAGGAGTCGGAGACTGATGCACATCGAGAGTTCCAGTCTTTACAAAAGTGCAAACTGCCCAGGTTCCTCGTTTTTGTAGCTGCACCCACCTCTCCTCTCCTGACAACTCAGGAAGAGTTGGGAATCTGTATTCCCCAGTTGCTCCCCAACCCCAGTACAGATCTCCCACTTGTTGACTCTCCAAGATCCTGTTTTTAAACTGCTAATTTTTGCATTCTCCCCATGCCTGCTTCCAAGGAAGCCCAGGGTTGGGCTGGGGATGGGGTGAGGCATGTAAAAGCGTTTCTGTCTCCATTTCTTCTTTCCTCACTGAGCTGGGTTGCAGTAATTGACCTCGAGGGTCTCAGCTGTGCTAAGTTGGGTGTTTGTTAGATCTCGTTGGGCTTGTAATTAGTGCAGAGAATCTAGGTCACAAGCAACTCTTTGGAGTGATGGTCTCGAGGGGCATGAACACAGGCAAGAAATAGCAAACAGGTTCCCCATTCTGTCGGCGGAGTGAGCCAGCGACAGGGAACGGGTAGGACTGGTGTCACACGCTCAGACAGACACAGGGTCAGGTGCAGAAAGGTGCTCAAATGTGTGTGTGTGTGTGTGTGTGTGTGTGTGTGTGTTCCCTCCAGTATTTACTCAGCTTTCTTTCCAACCTCTCCATATATGGTGTGGCTCTAGAGCAAGCTGGGGATTGGCTGCTGTTGTTGGGAGACTGGGAGGTAGGAAGGAATCAGAGAAAGAAATGAACCAGGCAAGGGAAGGGGGTGGGAAGAAGGAGGGGGCTCTAGCCAGGCTCTGAGGGTGCAGAGTGGGGCTGGGTCCGCTTGCCTGTGATGTTTGGAAAGGGGAGAGGGTCTTTGGGGCTGGCTTTTGGGGGAGAATGAGATAGAATGTACTGTTGGCAGAGCGGTTGGGAGAGGGGGCAAGAGCCATTTCCCTGGGGTCAGGGCTCTGGGCTCAGCACGGCGGCTTGTGAAGGCTGCAGCAGGAGTTAGAGAAACTTGTGGGTCCCCCCCTTTTCACCCTAAACAACCTATAGCTCTGCTCTGGAAATAGGGAAATCGATGCAAAGGAACTCATCAGTTTTCCGGGTCAGCACCTCAGACAGTCTCCCTAAGGAGCAAGGCCAGGCTTGTCCCCCAAACGTGCACCTGTCCCCCAACCCCCTTCTTAACAATGTAATGAGGAAGAGCAGGAGAAGTTGAGGGACATGTCACTGAAATATGAAATGGCGTTTAATTCTTTCCCTGTCTCTGCCCCTCACCCCGCTTGAACTCTGTGTCCTGGATTTCCTCATCTCCCTCCCCTAAGGCCTCCCAAAAGATTTCCCCTTTTCCAGTCCATTTCTGTAAGAATAGAATATAGCAAGGTTGTTGGGAGAGAGGAGGGAAGAATATTCATCCTGAAAAAAATGTCTACTGGCAACTGTGTAGTAAGCACGTTGCCCCGCATCCCCCCATTCCCTCTGCCAATTTACCCCAGAACACCGTGACCAGGAAGTAACGACCGCAGGTAAAAGAGCTGGACTGGTGGAGTTTGGAAAGGGGCTGGGTGGGGGCAGGTGAGCTAGTGACAGCATTAGTATCTCCCGTTCCGAGTGCCTGCGCTCGCTCCCGTTAACAGAAATCGTGCCAGCACCCACCATCAGGGTACACGCGAAGGTATTTGTCTAGTGGGAAGCCTGGCTTTGTGCTAAGCTCTGAAATTCTTGAAGACACGAGATCGCGTGATCCCCACTTTCTGTCTCTAGCCTTTAGTACAGACAGTGACTTAATCCCCTGCCCCCCGCTACCTGAGCTGGCTGAGTTGGCGTACACAGCCCGCTGAATCAAACTCGGAACAGCAGCTGCGGTGGCCACAGCGGCCCCTTGCTGAGTGTTGGCGGCCCTCCATCAGCTGTCATTTCCCATAGGTTGTCTTCACCTGTCCAACAGTAACTCCCCATTTTGGCAGATGAGGAAACTCTAGAAAGCTTGTGCCCTTCCCAGAGCCTCATAGCTAAAGTCAGAATTTGAACCCGGGTGTGTCTGGCTCCAAAACTTGGCTCATTTTGCCACCCTGTGGCCTGGTTCTGGTGCCTGAAGACCCCAGGAGTTTAATACCCAGCTCTCGGTGGCCCAGCGCCCCCCTCCCCACCCTGCCCAGATCTTTCTTTTCTGCTTCCTCTCGCCTGCCATTCTCCTTCCAGTGTCTCCCTCCATCCTCTAGTTCCCCTGGGAGCCACAGATAGTTGGCATGTTGGGATATACATGCCATTCTGGCTTATGTCTTCTCCTTCATTATGTGGGAGCGACAAGGGAGAAAAAAAGGAACAATGCCTATAAGATAAAATTCACACAAAGATGGAGACTTGTAAAGTATTTTAACCTAGGCCTTCAATATTTGTGACAGTGGCCTGCTGACCATGCTTAGAGCTTAGGAGAGGGACACCTGCTTGGAGGACAGAAGTCTGGAGACCCAGGTTCCCTCATCAGTTACCCCAGGAGCCCCCGGGATGAGTCGTAGGTGACAGTCTGGTGCACTCCGTAGGAATATGCTCCTCAGGGGAGACACTAGGTAACCACAGGCCAGATTTAGGGAAATCTTCATGCCTGTGAATGGTGGGCACTAAAAGAGCAGGAATTTTTTCCCTAGAGATGCTTTAACTTGGAGAGATCCTCCCTGTTGCTTACATGGATTGTGGGAATAATAATGTCAGAGCAGACTAGGAATCAAAGGGTCTGTGTTTCTCCCAAAGGATTTACCTTCCTTCCCTCCTACGCTGTCTTCCTGAACGTCTCGCTGGGGCAGCCTCCCAGCCAGGACCTCTCAGCAATGCCCCCATCGTCTCCCGCTTCTTCCCTCTCACCCTAGTGAAGCTCTTGGCTCTTGGAGGTAGGACCTTGGGAAGGTCAGGAAGCCAGCACAGGGCGCCCCTTCAAAGTGGTTTTAACCCCTCATTTACTTGGTTCATGGGGCTCCACCCCCTTCTTCGCCCAAATCACTCCTATCTTGCCTTCACAACCCTTGTCTGGACCTGAACTCTTGTTACTGAACCTGATCTTAGAAACTTTGGAGGAAGGAGGCAAACAAAATGAGCTGTGGAAGAGCTACTGTAGACAAGAATGCAAGGGAGCCCGGTCAGGAGGTGAGAGTCGAGATGTTTTTCTAAAGTTGGGGTTTGATTAGTGTTCAAAGAGAGGTTTAAGGAAGGAGGGGGAGGCTACAGGAAACCTAACTTGGCTGAAAGAGGAACCTAGCTTGCTCGGTTTTCCCCTTCGTCCGACAGCTTGCATCACAAATCAGTTTCATTCTTAGTTCGGTTCTTCGACTGGGTCTGCTCTCCCTAGGTCCCCTGTGCTAGGACCCCCTTAGCCAAATGACTAATCCAATTCCACCCACCGAGCCTCCTGTCTCTGAATCAGCATTGGGGAGGGTCGAGGGAGATGAAGGTGGGCGGGTCAATCTCGGTCAGAGCCTGTAGGCAAGAAGCGTGTTTGAACCCCCCAGATCCTCTCAGGCCTGGCGCTGAGGTCACATCTGTGTGCATGGACAGGAGGCCCTGGCTTCCACACCCCAGCAGCTGGAATCGGGTAGCTGCACTTCCACCCTCAGGCTGAAAACCCAGAAAGGGATATGAGAACCATCCCCTCCGCCCAACTTAAAAGCCTATGCACGACGTCCCCAGGAGCAGCAGTATATTCCCCACTGTCTCAGAGGGGTGGCGTGTATAAAATGGTCAGACTGCGTCCATTACCCTCTCTCTCTCTTCATCCATGCAAAGCTTTTTAATACTGCTAGAGGAGTCACCTCCTCCTCGAATCTGAGTTAGGTCTCAGAGCGAGTGGGGGTAAGGAAGGAAAGGGGGTGGTTGGAGGACGGTTGGGCATCAGCAAGAGCAACGAGTTTGAGAGTGTTTTTGTTTTCTTTTTTTTAACTGAGGTAAATAAAAAAGATTTATCCTGCAACACTTGGAGATAAGTCTGGGCCCCGCCCTCCAGAGTTCCAGACCCTGTCCCCTTCCTTCACATGAGGCTCTTCCGGTACTGACTGTGCTGAACGGTCTGCCTGAGGTGGGAGTCAGGGGTCTGCAGGTCCATCTGTCTGTACAGGTCCCTCAGCTCCCTGACTTCCTGCAGCACCCTCTTCGCCTGGCTCCAATTTGATGACGCCTCTCCCAGCAGCCGCTCTGTCTCCTGCAGCAGCTGCTCTGACTCAGAATTGGAAGGAGACCGAGGGGGGTCCTTGGCCTTTCGCTTCCCATCTCCCAGTCCCTGAACCTCTGCCAGCAGCTCCTGAGTCTTCTCCAGTTTCCTTGCCACCAGGTCCTGGATCCGGGACAGCTGCCCCGGGTGGGGTGCGATGAGGGATGGGGGGTCCTCGGCCCGCAGGGGGAGGGCGCAGGCTGGGGCAGTGTCCCGCTGAGACAGAATCTCCTCCATGGAGGCACAGCGGCCTTTCTCCGTGGGGGTCAACTTCTTGGGTGCCTGGGGGGTGTAGGTGGCCCCCTTGTCTGGCCTTTCCCAAGGTCGGGGAAAGCTGCTTGCCCGATCTGAGGAGGGCTGAATACGGTCTGAGTCTGCCCTCCGCCGGCTGCTTGCGAGCTGGGCCACTGACTTGTCCAGGTCAACCCGAAAGCTCTCGGCACAAGAGGTTGGTTCTTCAGGCGAAGAGTCTTCCTCCTGAATCAGGTCCAAGGTCAGCATCCCATCCGAGGTAGAGGTCGAAGCCTGGAGAGGGAGAGGGCAGGAAGGAAGGGGGAAGATTGTCATTGGTGGGCATGAAGTCCTCCCTCTCGACCGAGCCCTTTGACTTTATTTGCTATTTCTTATTCCTTTGACAGTGATTTGAATTTATTTTATTTTTTTTGTGATTAAAAGTAATTTCTCCTGCTTGTTTCCTATATTCTCCATTTTACTAAGAGCTTCCTAAAAGTGTCATTTTCCTCATATTGTGGACTCCAAGCATCTCACTGGGTTTGACACTCACAGGATGTCCCACATGGCACATCCTTTTCCATCTGCAGCTTCTGAGCCACACGCCTCAAGCCCCTCTGCTACTGGGAACTCAGAGCCCCTTGCCCTCTAACAAAACTTGTTCTCATTCCCAGGATACTCTAATTTAAAAAGAAGTGATGAGGGTGTTCAGCTGTGTGGAAATGTATGCTGTTTCAATCACCACTCACAGAAGCCCTTCACGGCAGGCACGTACCGCCCCATTTTACAGGTGGAGACATGTAGCTTCCTGGAATCAGAGAGTCAACTGCGAAGCTAGGCTCTAAGCTGGGTCTGTCTTGATTTCAAAGCCTACGTTCTGGCCCCCTGCCTGCCTCTCTTCCTGGAAATGCAGAGAGGAACCACCACTTTCTATGTTATGGGCTTTCACTGTGATCATTCCTCCTCTGGCTGTTACCTGTCAGGCCAGCTGGCTACCAGACTGTGGCTTACACTGCCTTTGCCACTTCCCCTGTGGGTATATCTCATTTTTCCCAAAGGATGATGAATTTATTGAGGGCAAGGACTTTTAAACTCATAGTAGGTGTTGAATAAATATTTCTGAATGAGAAGAAAAAGGCAGGGGGGTGGGGTAGAGAGACTTCCCAGCCTTTGAACTTGGAATCAGAAATGCCTCTGCTGGGCTCTCTGAGATAGCTCTGTCTGAGATGACTGACATGGAACTGGCCCTTGAGCGATTTTTACTTTCTTGCAGTCTTACATACCACGGCCATTAGGTGTCCCCGAGTTGGGGGGCGGCGGGAGTGTTGGATTTTTGCCCTGTCTCGAGTGGGGTGGGCGAGATAGCTGTCCTCTTCAACGGTGACCTGAAGAGAGGCACTGTGAGTCTATGACTGCTCTTCAGAGAAGAGCTCTGTCCCAACCCAGCATCCCCTGAGGCCTAAACATGCCTGGACTTGGAAATAAACCTTCCCGTGAACTGCTTCTGAACCCAAGGGCAAGGGCTTTACTGGACGTTATGGGGCTCTTCAAGCTACGCAAGGCTGGCCCAGGCACCAGAGTGGGGAAAGGGGGAATCAGCTGAACCAAGATTTAGAGGGTAGAAAGAGAAAAAGGTTTTCCAAAGGGAGCTGGAGAGGCAGCAAGCAAACAGGGCCGCACTCTCTAGCGAGTCACAACGGATCCTTCTGCCCCAGCGTCCCTCTCCCCACAATGAGCCCCTGACCTCATCCAAGATGCGGTTCTTGGCCCGGGTGATAGCAGAGTTGAGGGCATTGATCCATGATTCCTTCTCTTCTGGACTCACTGCCAGGAAGATCAGGTTGGGTGCCTGTGAGGGGAAGATTCTTGTTTCAGCCAGGGTTTTAGAGTTGGTGTCTCACCTTGACAGTGAAGAAATAAGAAATTATCATCTCATTCGCTCAGACCCAGCTCCTGGAAGGAGAGAGATTCTGCTTCCAGAGTCATCCATACCTTAAGGAAACCAGACTTTATTCTTGCAAAACGCCACAGCTTGGGGGTTGTTTTAGAAATAACCCAGGAAGAGCTAGGAAGGGTGCTGGATATTGACACGGCACTGGAGGTGATCAGAGGAGGTTTGGGAAAGGACAGCACTAAAATAAAAATTTAAATGTTTGAAGACGTAGAATGTGATAGGAATGGCTTCCCTCAGCCAAGAAAAATTAGATTCAGAAATTCAACCACCTATCAGGGTCCAGCGAACAGTGATTTTTCTCCCAAGAGATGTGTGCGCGCAAGTGCGTATGTGTGCACGAAAGGGAGGGAGGAGTGGGGGAGAGGGTGAGGGGGGACAGAGAGGGAATGAATGACCTTTGTTTGAAGGCCGGCTTGCCTGGAGGGAAAGCAATGGCCATAATATTCTCAGGTTAAATAATAAAAGCTGGCAGGAGAGTAGTAATTCAGGGCCTTTCAGCTAAGTGGGCCGAGGGGAAAAAGCTAGAGGACAGTGTTCTCCCCTGCCCCCCCCCCCGCCCCGCCCCCCTGACCTGGCTGGTGTTCCCGTGGCCAAGCTGTCAGGAGACACTTACCGTGTTGCCCGGCTGCTTGGAGTGGGCGAGAGTGAACTTGCTATGATTTTTCTTGCTCCTGCTCTTGGATTTCCGGAGCTCTTCACACTTTTCATAGTCACTCAGGTCGAACACCTCCTGAATATTTTTCTCATCTTTCACCTAAGGGACAGGGGGAGGTGAGGCGATGAGGATAAAATTACTTAGTCCCTCCCCTCAAGTGGTTAGTTTAGGCCAGTGGGAACCAGAGGAAGCCTGTGGAGGGGGAGGGATGGCAGGGCACGAAAGGGCCACCCTATCTGGGGCCCACAAGGTGCTGGGGCAGCCTCCACCCCAGTCCTGACTCCTCAGGGGGGCTTCCCTTCCACCCCCTCCTGCCCACTGTCCCTGGCCAAGCTGCCGGTTCGAGTCGCTCTTCACTGTGACTCCCACTTTGTCCTTCCTTCAAAGGCCAGGCTTACACAGCAAACAGGTGAATCCCATCATCGGGAAGGAAGCAAGACCCGGGTGGCCCTGGACCGTCCAGAGGGAGGAGATGGAGGCAGGGCCAACGTCAGGGGGTGTCTCCAGGCCGTGAAGGGCTGTCTCTGGCCTCCCCCATCTTATGTTTATGTTGTTCTGCTCTCGCTTTCTTACCCTACGTGGCTCTCCCCCCAAACATATACTATCATAAGGAGCGTCACTACCTCCTTCATTTCAGGAGTTTCAGCACTGTGGGAAGAGCAGCCCGTGTTCAGTCTGCTCAGAACAGACCAGAAGCTGAAAAACAGACCTGCAGTTCCCACCTCTCCCTCCTCCCCCCAAGGTACGGTGACAACCCGACCTAACTCTTCCAGGCTGGCAAAGCCACTTCAACCAGCCACCTCTCTCCAGGCAAAGATGCACTTCCACTCTCCCTGGAGGACAAAATTTCAGACTTGGAAAAAAAAGTATTCTGCCACCTCTTTCCATGGTTCCAGTTTGACGGGCTAAATCTCCTTACTGCCAGGAAGTTCCCCCTTGTGTCTGAACTCAGCTCTTCCTGCTTGCAGTATCTGCCTTACACCCTGGTTCTACCCTTGGCAGATTCACCCACCATTTGGGTCTTAACTCTCTTGCCGAATGTCTGACTGGAGACCACAATTGTATCTACATCCCCCAACCCCAACCAGCATTTTCTGAATGCCGCGAAGAAAATTCCGTTAGCATTTCTTCCAAGGTCCATTTTAAACCTCTCGAGTTTCTTCTCCTTCTCCCTAAGGTGTTCCACATGGTCCTGGTACTCAGAAGCTGTGGCTTACAGGCTGTTTGGGCTTGTGAGAGGACAGGACTTAGTCACCGGCCCAGATGAAGCAGCTTGTGATTAGAATACCCATTCATCCTCTGCTGCCTGGGCCCGGGGTTGGAAGACCCTGCCAATGGGCTGGTCCCATTTTCCTGGGACGAGAGACCAGCACTTGTCTCGTTAAAACTAAACAGATAAAAGTAGCTGCATATCTTCCTTGGAAGATATTCACTCTCCCTGACTGGAATTATTTCACAACAGTCTCCAGTCTCCACTTGTCAAGCTCTGAAATAGGATAGTGTATGTAGAGGTGACTTCATCTATGCTCCTGGTTCTCAAAAGCCTTGAAGCAGGGAAGTAATTCTCTCTTCTACCCCCCAGCCCATCTCTGGTCTTGTACCTGCCCATCCTTCTGACTTGCTGCTGGACCCGGGGGCTGACACAGGTGACAAGAGCCTACTGCGGGGGGGTTGGGGGGGGAACGGCTGCTGCTACATCCACTGTTTCTGTGGGGCGGGGCTCCTCCAGGGCTTTCCCTTTTCTAGGGCTCCTGGGCTTTGGGGCTGGAAAGGGACCAGACACCTTGGAGGATTATGGGTAGAAGTGAAAAAGATGCTGGCAACCAGCATCCAAGAACAATTTCCAGAAACAAGGCAGGGATGTAGGATGATGCCTCACTCCTCTTCTCCCCCTCCTCCTTCCTCAGAGCTGAGACTATCAGCAGAGGCCAGAAATCTTGGAGAGGAAAGTGCTGGGCGTGTATTTGTAGCCAGGCGAAGAGTGTTACTTGTTCTGTTTTCCTTAGGGGAAGGGAAGGGAAGGGAAGGGAAGGGAAGGGAAGGGAAGGGAAGGGAAGGGAAGGGAAGGGAAGGGAAGGGAAGGGAAGGGAGAAAGGAAAGGAAGGGAGGGGTATCTGGCTTGGACACGACTGATAAGGAGCTCTGGGGGGCAGGGGCCATCGACGGGGTTAGCGCTTGGGAGGGCAGGGGTAGGAGCTGGTCAGACAAGCAGCTGGCGAGTGTTCCCGTCCTGGGGAAGATGGACAGCTTCGAGACCCTGTTTTCCTCTGTCCTGTTCCTCCCCCCTCTAATTCCGCACGTCTCATTGATAACTATCCATCTTCCAAACGTAATCCTTCCTTTCCCCTGATGTTTTGTCCCTGGCCCACAGGAAGGGATTTTCCCTATACGCTTGCCAAAAAAGATGCCCCCAAACCCAATTTCCTCCACCATGAGGTCTTCCTGAGGTCAGGTTTCTGCTCCTGTATAGCAGCCCCATGACCATAAGGCAGCATTTGACTGAAATGGGGAAAAACTTATTAACAACAAATACAGCAGGATTTCTTTGATGGAGACAGTTTTGGGGGACCCTGCCTCTATAAGGGGAAGTAAGGAAAAAGAGACTGTTGCAAATTTTAGGGGAGGGGTTAGGAATTTTGCATTAACATGTAAATTACAAATGTTACACTTTGTATTTCTTTTTAAAAATCTAAAAATCTTGAACCTATTGGCTCTGGAGCTTTTGGCAAGTGGATAGAATAAAGCCTGGAGTCCTCTGTCTGTTTCACTTTTAACCCAAGCCCCTGGTAGCATGGAAAACAGCTCCAAAGAGTAGTAGTATCAACAGCCCTGTTCCCTCTTTTCCTACGCCCGTCTCAGCAGGGCACAGTTGGCCCCATGACTAGTCAGATGCTCCTGACTCATAGGACACCACACATCCTAGGCTGAGGCCTTCCACCCTTTCCCCATCTCTGTGCCCCTTCCTCCACAAACAAGGATCAACCATGCTCTTTCACCCCCGGACTTCGTTTTTTGGACAAACGCAAACAAGACAAATGTCTTGTTCCTTCTACCCTTTCACTGTTCTCAGGTTTCCTCTTTGACATGTGGGAAGTTCTCCCTGATTGCTCACGGGAGTTTCCTGCCATTATAAAGTTCAGGGGAGTCAGGACGTATGCCTTGACACTTCCTTTGTTTCTTGTTTTGTTTTTGTTTTTTAAACTGGAAAGCCAGAAAATTGTGGAAAAACTTTCTGTAGGATTGGGGTTGGGTGGAGCTGACCCTTAAAAATAAATCCTCCTGCCCTGGCCGTGTGGCTCAGCCGGCTGGCTTGGTGTTCAATGCACCCCTGGAAGGTTTTGGGTTCGATTTCTGATCAGGGCACATGCCTAGGTTTTGGGTTCGATCCCCTGTTGAGGCATGTATGGGAGGCACCAATCGATGTTTTTCTCTCTCTCCTTTCTCTAAAAGCAATGAAAAAATGTCCTCGGGTGATGATTAAGAAATAAAATAAAATACATAAAATAAACCCTCCTGCCAAAGTCTTCTCTCACCTCACTCCATTGCCAAGTTCTCAGCTTATTGTAAATAGCAGGGATAAGACACCCCAAAGAGGGATCCCTCTGGCCCTGGCACTACTTAATTCTTCCCTAGCTGTCTCAGTAGACATTCTGTTCAGATGAAGACTTTCTCTAGGATGGTGTGTGGGTCTGTTTCAGTACCATAAAAGGAATTATTTACCTAAATATAGTTGACTGTAGAAAGCAGAAGAGGTTAGAAATCAGGGAGGACTTCCCAGTTGGCCCCTGGTGAGGGAACCTGGAATGGGGGGTGGGGGTGGGGAGGAAGGGCCACCCTTCCAGAGGAACACAGGACAGTCTCCTAGCCTGTGCTGACATAGTCGCAGAGGCAGGAATGGGAGTGACTTTCTAACCTATGGAAGGACAGCTTCAGTTTCTTAATATTACTTCATATTATGGATCCCAAGAATTAGAGATAAAAGGGAAAGGAGTTTGGATTCAATGGTCTCAGCTCAGGCTCTGACCCAGCATGGACTGTGGTTTTCATTTTAACTGTAAGGGCGTAGACACAGACACATACACGTACACAGGTTCGTAACTCCATTTCTCTCCCTCTGGATACAAATGTGAGAGCAGGAAGGGGGTGAAAAATGAGTTCCTTCCTTCTATTTTTTTATTTTTAGTGGAATGGGGGGGTGGAGGGGAAACAGAGGTATGGTTCATTGGCTTCAACAGAAATAACGGTCTGCCACATACAAATACTCTACCTGGGGTTATGTGAGACTGAACTTGGGCTGTACCTGTGTTGTGTGTCTGTGATTCTGGGCAGCTGGGCTACTGCTTTGCCCCGCCTGCTCCTGCTAGAGACAGGAAAGGGGGGGCTGGCTGGGCTGGGGTGTGGGCACAGGAAGGGGTACTGAAAACGCTGCTGTTCACAGAGTGTTTCAGCAGCAATAGCAAAGAAAAAAATCCCACTTTGGCTAGAGGCCAAGGTAGGGTAGGGGGCAGCAGGGGACACAGAACTTCTGGGACATGTTGGGATATCATTGCAGTCAGATATTTATTTGCAAAGAAAAGTCATTAAATAAGATGCACATTCAACTTCTAATTCTAACTCAAATCTTCTCCCTAAAGGGTGACCTTTCCCAGCAGCTATAGGATGGTGGTAGAGACCAACTTGCTTTTGGAACAAAATGGGGGGTGAGGTAGGAGGGAGACTACAGACAGATAAGCCCCCTGTGGAGTGACAAAGTGGGGAATATGAGAAAACAGGGAGAGGTGGAGGTAAAGGGCACCTACCTCCTTCTCAGAGATGTAGAGCTGGTCCCCTTTCAGCACCACATAGCGGTTTTTCCAAATCTCCCTGAAAATCCCTTTCCCGCAGAATTTCCGGACCCAGCCGACCTTCTCAGGCAGCGCGGACTGATGATTGCCATCCTGCGGCCCCTGCCCCAGAGGCAAGAGAAGACCAGGCCGTTAGGTGATCACAGCTCTTTCCTTCTCTCCACCCGCAGCCCCGAGACCCTCCTCCGTCGCCCTCACCCCTTCTTTTCGGGGACCGCCCCTCCGAAGGCTGGAGTCCGGGAGCCCGACGCCCGCTCCCCACCTCCTAGGAGGCTCTCACTCGGAGGGACTCCCCCCATCGCTCTCTTCCCCCTCCTCCCAAATAAACAACTGCAACTGCTGGGGGAAGGGGCCTGAGCCGAAGTGGCCTTCGGTTCGCCGCCCGGCCCCGCCCCCGCCCCAGCCTGTCCACGCAGCGCCGGATTAACGGCGTTTTGTTTTATTTCTCATTGTCTCCCCGCCGCCGCCGCAGAGCGCGATGCACACTGCAGCCGGTCACCCAGGGGACGCGAGGCTGGGGGTCGGGCGGAAACTAAGCCAAGTGACACCCGCACCCAAGTAAACAAACAAAAGCGCCCCCGCGGTGCCTCGACGCGGGGCCGCAGCCCGGCGGCGGGGGCCGGGGGACCGGCTGGGGGGTGCGGGCGGGGGCCCCCGCAGAGCGCGCGGCCGCTCGAAGCCCCGACGGGCCGGGGTCCCCGGAGCACAAAGTCGGCCGCGGGCGCGGGGCCGGCGGGCGCACTCACCCTCTTGGTGGAATTGTTCTTCTTCATCATTCCAGGGGGTGCGGGCGCGGGGGCCACGGCCAGGGGCTCCTTCCCGGGGAGGGTGGCGGAGATGCCCCCGGCGACGCCGCCGCTCCACCCTCCCTCCCCCTGGCGGACTCGCCTCCTTTGTAGCTCCGGTTACACTAAGGGCCGGCCTCCCCGGCGCTCGCACACACGCGCACGCCCGCTCCCCGCCCCTCGGCGCCCTCCATCCCGGCGCCCACGCGGCCCGGGTCCCCGAGCGCCCGCCCGGCCCGGCCGCTTCCCCGGCCCCGCGCGCTGTGGGAGGCCCGGCCCGCGCCCCGCGGTTCCATCCAGGGGCCGCTGACGTTGCGAGTTCAGAATAAAGGGCGAATCGCGGAGCCCGAGCGAGTGCGCTCCCCCCGCCCTCCTTTGTTTCTCACTCACTGAGGGTGAAGAAGACAGACCCAAACCCAGCCGGAGACCCAGGCTCAGACTGGAGAGCGAGAGGTGGGGCCAGAGGAGACGGCCCGGGCGGACCTGGCGGGGGAGACGGCGGCGGCGGACGCAGTGAATAATAGAGACACAGAGGTGTATGAAGACCGGGGATAACCCAGATCCAGATCGTCTCCCTCGTAATCGAAAACAAAAACAAGCGCCTGAGTTGGGCAGGCGCGTCACCTAGGACGGGCGTCTGGATCCCCCACTCCCCAGGTGGTAGAGATAGCGGCCTGGGCAGGTCAGATGGTGGGGAAAAGTTTTATACTTCAGAGGATATCCGTGTTTAGGGGCACGCGATGGGAGAGAGTTAATATTAATACACCCTTCTTTCAGTTGACGAAGCTTCAGGCCTTACCCGAGCCCGTTATCTGGGAGAATAACCCTCAGTGTGTTGTCAATGAGCCCCATTGCACAGAGAGGAGTGAGACTCAGAACGGCCGAGCGCTTTGCAGACACACACTGTAAGTGCTGGCAGGGATAGAACTCTGTCTCCAAAGCATGATCGTTACCCCAAGTGGCTTTAACTCTACCTAGGTGTCTCTTCCTGGTGGACCGACGTGGAAAAATCCCATCCTGTCCACCTCATCAAGTCCACTGGAGGGAAGGACGCAACGCCCATAGGATGCTGGGACTGGGGACCCCTCCTTCGTCAGCTCTGCCTCAGAGCCTGCAGACCAGCAGCTTAGTAACTTCATTGTTTTCCCCGCACGTGTTTAATGGGAGGAAGGGAATCAGGAAAGCTAGGTTTGGATACCGGTTTCATCGCTGCTCAGTGGCCTTAGGTCAAGTCCTTGAATTTCTTTAAGCCTCAGTTCCTCCGATATTAAATAGTGAGGGGTGAGCTGCCAGTTCCGTCCACAAGGAAAGTCAGGGCGATATATGAGATGACCTGTGAAAGTCCTTTGAAAATATAAGTATTGCCCCCTTAGGGCTAATTATTAAATAATAATAAGCTAACCAACACATTGCCTGGCATATAGTAGGCACAGAATAACCACAAAACAAATAAAAATCCCTGGCATGGAGGGCCAAGAGAAAAAGGAAGAATCCTTTTCCTAGAAGTGTCTCAAGGTGAAAATGTGGGCCACATTTGTGGTTTGAGGAATGGGACGGTCTTGGCTTTCTCTGGTATCTGTCAAATGAAGGAGGGGCCTCTCTCTTTTCCAAGGTCCCCTTACCTCCCAATTCAATAATGTTCCTCTTAACCTCCTTTCATTTACCATGCAAATTAATTCCTCTATATTGGACCAGTATAGAAATTTGTCCTTTCAAAATGCTCATATATTATTTCTTTAAATGTTTATTTAGTGCTACCTTGTGAGGTATGTAAAAACAAATAAGGGCATGCAGATCAACTGACTTGCCCAAGTTTACACAGCAAGTTACTGGCTGAATGGAGTAGAAGCCAGGTTTTCTGATTCCAGCCTCTCGTTTAAGCACCTTGCACACGCGCTCCTCCTCCTCCCTTTCCTTCCCACCATCCTCTCCCTTTCCCACCATCTCTTTCCCACCCTCTCTGTTTATAAAGCGATTTTAAAAGAATGAGGAAATCCAGGATATCTTCATAAGCAAGGAAGCAAAACACCCCAATGAGCAGATGAGAAAATGAACCTGCATTGTCTTTTGAGGGCTTGCTGGCCAGGCAGAGAGGAGTGGTGTGGATTTACAGTTTCGATAGGTTCTGATTTATGGGGAAAAAGAGTAATTCATGACTTGCCCCATCTTCCCCCGTTGCCCTCCTGTTAGCCAACAAATATTGGAGTACCTCCTGTCTGTGACGTACTAGTATGCTGCATAAAGCAGAAGCTGGAGCTTTGTGGAACATCAGAGGGAGAGAAGGCCTGCTAAAATATCCAAGCCTCCAAAGTAATTTTCAGATTCCAGAACAGATGCATGTGGGCTGGAGAACCTTCCCTGCCTATCTGCTCCTTAAGATGTTACATAAATCTGTTCTCGCTCCCTCTCTCCCTCGCTCCCTCGCGCTCTTTCATTAACCTGCATTGCTGCGCTACCTCATCTTCCGGCCCCTACCCTCCTTCAGGGTGCGTCCCTTTGCCCTGTTACTCACCCTTCTTTCCATACTTTGTACTCCATACTCTTCTCCATACTCTTCTCAAGCTGACTTCTCTCTAACTGGGTGAATCTCTGAATTGCCACTGTTTCCCAAAGACCAATTTTTAAGTGAGAAATCTCAGAGTAAGAACTTTATGGGTTTCTTTACATATATTCATATCACTGTCTCATCACTGAGCTTGATACTACCACACACACAAACCACAGAAATAACTCAAACCAGTTTCCCATCAGCGAAGATAAGATACTGGGAGGTTATATCCCTAACTGCATCACCAAGGATAAGACACAACTGCCAGTAAGTAGCTTTATTTATTTTTTAATTGTTGACGCTATTACAGAAGTCCCCCATTCCCCCCACCCTTTGCCTAAACTTGGGCAAGTCAGTTGATTTGCATGCCCTTATTTGTTTTTACATACCTCACAAGGTAGCACTAAATAAACATTTAAAGAAATAATATATAAGAGCATTTTGAAAGGACAAATTTCTATACTGGTCCAATATAGAGGAATTAATTTGCATGGTAAATGAAAGAAGGTTAAGAGGAATATTATTGAATTGGGAGGTAAGGGGACCTTGGAAAAGAGAGAGGCCCCTCCTTCATTTGACAGATACCAGAGAAAGCCAAGACCGTTCCATTCCTCAAACCACAAATGTGGTCCACATTTTCACCTTGAGACACTTCTAAGAAAAGGATTCTTCCTTTGGCTGTTCACGCAGCCTGCCCAGTAGCTCTATTCTTCAATTGACTATTTTATAAGTAACTTCACGTAAGTGAGGGAGAAGGGCCTGTGAATTGCTGCCTGCAAGTTTACTGGACAGGACCTAGTATCCAAACATTTTTTTAGCTAAAAACAAGTACCGTAGCTTTTGTAGAATGAATGAGACAGAGAGATTTTGACTAGGGCATTTCAATCTATGGAAAACAGGTCATTAAAATCATATGGGACCTTAGTTAAAATGATGTTTTTAAAGGGAAAACTAAAGGGCCAGTAACAATGTAATTAGCTTGGTGAATCTTAAATAAAAATGTGAGTCCTTGATCCTTATACAAAGAAATGCCTACTTCTGGTATCAAATATCTGAGGGTAAGACTCATTTCTTAGACTCCTTGTTATTGTTAGTTGAATAGGGATAATGGAAGCAGGCGAAGAGTGAGGAGAATGATAAAAGTTTCTGTTCTTATTCCAGAGTTATTTTGCCAAGAGGAAGGGCAGGGCAGGTAATCCTGCTTGGAGGAGGGAGGTTTCTATCTATCTGAAAAGAATGTAACTTATAAATGTTGCATTCAAAATACTGCCTCCCTAGGTCTCACTTTTTTATCATTATTAAAAAATTAAAGCATTTTTTAAAAGTACTTGTATTGACCACAACAAAAAGAAAACAACCTAGAGCTTAGCTCTTCGCTATAACATGGATGAAAGCCCAGAACAGAGGCATCCAACCCAGCCGATCCATGGGCCACGCGCAGCCCAGGGTGGCTGCGAATGCGGCCCAACACGAAACTGTAAGTTTACTTAAAACGTTATGAGATTTTTTTCGTTATTACATGTCTCAATATACTCAATGTGTGGCCCAAGACAACTCTTCTTCCAGTGTGGCCCAGAGATACCAAAAGGTCAGACATCCCGGTAGGGTTTCACTGAGCTTAAGGTAAAGAAACTGCTAATTAATGCAGGGGGTGGGTTGACAGGAACCCAATCATTTTGCGCGGTGCTTTTGTATCCCCAACCCGGAGGAGGAATCCACCGTATTAACTACTATTAGTTAATTTCATTGAGTGCTTTGGTGTTCTAAGTGCTTTGTATGTACTATCTGATCTCATTTAATCCTTTCAATCCTGTGAGGAAGGTACTTTATTACTCTTGTTTTATATATGAGGAAACTGAGCCACAAAGAGACTAAATGACATTCCCAAAGCCACATAACTGTATACAGATTTGAGCCTTGGTTAGCTAATGCTTGAGAGTGTTTATCAACATAACAGAAAGGCCAAAAAAATAAATAAATAAATAAATAAATAAATAAATAAATAAAATTGGAAAGACTCACCAGGAAGGGATCGCACTGTGGTGTTTTGCTATGGCTTGAGGATGCCACCGTTTCCTGGCATTAGTGACATCATCAATTTCCACTGTTTTCAAGAGAAGTGAAACTGACACCAGAATTTATTATTGCCTTGATTCACTTCAAATATCCTTAGGGTAGAGGCGATGCCTTCTCCATGTTTGGGTTACAGCCAGCTCATGCCTCACCTCATGAATTCCCATCAATAGTTACTAACCCCAAGCAAAAACAAATCACTTGTATCTTTTCACAAAGTAGATTTTTATTGTGGTCATACATGGTTTCTCAGCGCCACAGAAAAATGCAATTTTTAGATGGCTCTACAGAAACATGATGAGTTTTCAGAAATGACCTGTGCAGGAATGTGGTTAATACAAAGTAAAAGGGGTCAAGAGGAGAGAGAATGTGTAGCATATACATCAAATGATTGCTTCTTAAAACTCCTCTAAGCTCTCACAACCCTTTTGTCAAGTAAGATCCCAACAAAATTCATCAGAAACAGAAGAGATTGTGCTATTAAATA